CCAAATTATCAATCAACTAAGTAAATATGCTCAGTCCATCAATTAAGTAAAAATAATAATTAAACTAGATGGATATTTGATAGAATTGACCTACTGTTTCATTAAATTCATAAGCTCATTCACATGGTTCAATATGGTGGAGCCCCACTAATATTTACATAAAAAGAAACATAAAGTCAATTGGGATAGGAGATCTTAGCATTTAAATCATAAGCAGAGCAAGGGTAAGTATATAGAAGCTGAAGAGAGAGGTAAGCAGCATAATTATATAACAAGGGAGTGAGAATACTGAAATGTGGCCAAAGCACATTTAGGCAAAAACCTGAAGTGGAGGACGCAAATAATTAGAAGGTATAAATTCACTTTCCTTCATCAGAATAACATTAGAAAGGTAAACATACTGTCCTGGAAAGATTCCACCAAGCATTCTAAAACTAAGCTGAAATAAACATTGAAGTAGCCAAGCACTGGTTCCTAGAAAAGATTCCTTCCACTCTAAAGCCTATGGAAGTCATGTTATTCATTAAAGACACACACACAAACACATGTATGCATGCACACATATGCACACACGCACACACGTACACACACACACACACTCATTTCGTGGTACCTAAATAAATATTTTTAAATTATTTTTATGAGTACTAAAAGCATATACTTCAGTATAAACAAATAAAGAACAAATATCGACCACAACGACAAATCTAACTAGTAATCTTTAAAACAACCTCTGTATCTGAAATATTATGAATTAGCAACAGATAAAAGTCTACATTCCTAATTGCAACTCTGGCACAGATCTGATTGTAGTGACTAGTCCTACTCACTTATTGTATTAATTTTTCCAAGGTCAGCTATCCAATGGCCTACTATCACAGATAATTCCACTTCTATGAATTTGTTTCTTGTCACAGTCACATCAAAGGGAAAGAAAAATGAGTTAACAGTCAGCACTTAGGGGCTGTTGAAGTGGCAGAAGGTTCAGTTCCTTTAGAACAATGGCTCTGGCTTGACGCTGTGTGATTGTAAGGTAAAATACTGTCTTCCCTGAAAGAGCCTTTGTCTATAGCTGAAAGGAAATAGTATGTCTATTCCTGAAAGTGAAATATAGATCTGCAATTTTATGAGAAAGTGTATCATTAGTCATCAGATGTATTCTGAGTATATTTCTTAAAATTATTTCTGTTCTGTCTTATAAAAGATATTATGGACTCTGCCTTCTATAGTTCTCTGTCTCTCTATCTCTGCCCCTCTCTCTTTCTTACACACACACACACACACACACACACACACACTCCATACATAGGCCAAAATTGTGCTCTAGTTGGCATTCTATTGTCCAAACTTTGGTGCTGTTGAATCATCAATGTGCTTGAAAGGTAGTTGTTACATAGTTTCGCATTGAATGGCAAGACAATCACGAACAGTATAGCTCTTGAATGTAGCGAATCTACCACAATTGAGGTATCACTTATCACAAATCAATTCCATCAAGATGAATATGTATAGAAAATAGATATAACAAGACACCTAAATAACTTGTATAGTCAGTAGGCTGAAGTAGAAGAGGCACAAGATATGTTCTAAGGAGTCACCTGAAAATTAAATACAGAAGGATGTCCTATTTACCCAGGCCTTCGTCATGTGAATGATATTTTCAGTCAACATGGGTAAAAAAAGGACAAATAGTGAGTATACCTACAGGAAGGATCTGAAAAGTAACGAAGAAAAATTTCTGTAATAATTCAAGACTTCAAGTTCCATTGTGATCAACTCTACCAGAATTCTGTTCTCAGTCACTACCAATGCCATCCTTTGTGATAAAAGTTAGCAATGTATGTCATCATATTTGACCAAATTGTCATTAATCATGACTAGTTTGAGGTAAAACACCAGCAAGTGTAACCCTAACAAAAAAATTAAAACAAAAACAAAATAAATTTAGAAATCCAAACAATAGGCATTGGAGAACATTTTTTTTTTAATGTTTATTTCTGAGAGAGAGAGAGACAGCGTGAGCAGGGGAGGGTCAGAGAGAGAGGGAGACACAGAATCTGAAGCAGGCTCCAGGCTGTGAGCTAGCTGTCAACACAGAGCCCGACGCGGGGCTCAAACCCACAAACCGTGAGATCATGACCTGAGCCGAAGTCGGACGCTTAACCGACTGAGCCACCCAGGCGCCCCGAACATTTTTTTTTTCAAATGGTCTGCCCACCAAATGAATAAACACAGACCTCCATATTTTCATTTACAATGAAACAAGTTAGGGGTGCCTTGTGGCTTAGCCGGTTAAGAGTCTGACTCTTGATTTCAGCTCAAGGTTCATGAGTTCAAGCCCTGCATCAGGTTATGCACTGACAGTGTGGAGCCTCTCTCTCTCTCTCTCTCTTTCTTCCTCCCTCCACTTGTGCTCTCTCTCAGTTTCTCTCTCTCTCTCTCAAAATAAATAAACTTAAAAAAAATAAGTTAGACTTCTGGCTTTAATCTATCTTCCGTCAGCTCAAGACTATGTCCGGCATAACTGGTATATACTTTTGATGGATCCAGAAAGTTTTACTTTGGGCCTTATGGTGGAACTCAGTCCTTCCTGCTTGAACTGAGCCATTTTATTTGTTGTCACTGTACCTGTCCCTCCTTTCCTCTCTCAAAAAAATCATTGCATCAACTGGCTGCCATTCACCATGTGTCTTAAGATGCCCACTTCTGCCACAAATCAGAGACTCCTCCCATCAACCAGGAACACGTATTCTTGTTTATGACTCTTCACAAATGCCCAAGTACTGGAATTCTGCAGCTTCTGAGTATTTCCAGCACTAATCTGGTATTCCCCACACTAAATTCCCAAAATCATCATTGAAATTTTTCATTTTTGCCTTCCCAGGACCTATGCTTATGTCGGGCATAACTGGTATATTCAATATGTTTGTTCAACAAATGAATGGGTCGTTCCTATCATAAAATGCTCTGCAATACATATTTCTAACTTTAAAAAATAATTGTGGTGTGTAAAGTAGACTAGCTTTCTGTCTGAATCATCTAATTATACGTTGACTCTACTCTTTAAATTACTCAGGTTTAAAATCATCTTAAAAGCATATTCACGTCTCTATTCTGATTTTCTATCCCCCAAGTGCTAAGAATTACCCCCATATCAGTTCGTCTAACTTTAATCCTGCTAATCATAAAGTCCACACTGCCAGCATTAGTACAAATGGCCTCTGTTAACCAGTCATTATGACATAAGATCTTAATGGGGGGGGGACTTAGAAATTTTGTTTATGGATCACCCAGTGTAAAGATGATGGGTATGGTCAGAAGGTATATACAGGTAGAAAGCATTTCAGGGAACTAGATGCAGGTTTCAGGAGTCTATGACTGGAAAGGATATAAGAAGTTTAAGGCAGACAAGAATATGGCTCAAAGTTTGGAGATATTAATAAAAGTGGTGCACGAAAAAAAAGTATTCTATGACCCTTCGTTGATGTTCGTTCACATTGTATTCTATGCTGCACCAAAAATTAATAAAGTAAGCATCACTTCATGTATTTTCGGCCTGTTTCCATATTTCACCTCCTTTATGAGCTATCACAAATAGCAGGCCTAAGTAGGAAGCCCTGATGTGTTTAGAAGCAGAGAATCGTACAATTAAAAATAAAGAGGGGCGCCTGGGCAGCTCAGTCTGTTAAGCATCCAACTTCACCTCCGATCATGATCTCACAGTCCGTGAGTTCGAGCCCCACATCAGGCTATGTGCTAACAGCTCAGAGCCTTGAAACTTTTTTAGTATTCTGTGTCTCCCTCTCTCTTTGCCCCTCCCTCATTCACGCTCTGTCCCTCTCTGTCTCTCAAAAATGGATAAACGTTAAAAAATTTTAAACAGAAAAAAATAAATACAGATTATGTGTGTGGTACACTCACTGATCCTAATGAATGAATTGGTGCTAGTTTGGAGGAGGAATTATTGTTTCCTAAAACCAGTGCTCTCCAACTGTGTCAACAGGAACAATTCTTTGGTAGAAACTATAAGTACCAAAGCCGGGCAGCAGGGCTTATGTTAATTGGCTTTTAAATCCCAGGAAGGTTTGCTACAAACTGAAACACAAAAACTATCTGGCTTGGTGGGATTTCTACTTTGAATCTGTATAGTTCTTTTTGGAATAGAGTCTACAGCTTCCCTCTCTCCACCTCTCCACACACTCACACAACCTCACATCCTTGATTTCCATAATCTTTTAAAACCAAAGCCGGAGGTCAGGCTAGTTCAATACCTGCAGAGAGAACTCTGAGTGACATTTAAGTCAACCTTAGAAATAGCCAGTCATCTCCTTGCTTAGAATGAATACCAAAGAATGTCAATTTCACTTATTTTTAAGTAACAGTGCAGGCACTGGAAAGAGAAAAGGTTGATAATGTTTGTTTTATTGTGTGTTGTTTTTGGTTATTGCTGCTATTGCTGTTTCTGTTTTGGAGATTTCTGTTTTGAGTGTTGGTGACTTATTTGCAAGCTGATTTGGAGGCCAAGTCACCAATACCTAGCACTTTTTTCTTGGTTTATGAAATCCTGCTGACCTCTAATAGCATAGAAAGCTCTACATCCTGAGAAGCCAATTTCTTGAAGTGTTGAAGAAATTGGCATTTTATTAATTCCTAATAATTAATTGTTTCCACATCGTAGTCTTAGCTCCTCAAATGAGCTGCCAATTCTTTGAGAGTGGGGCAAAATATTATTCTGTCGCCTTTCTCTGTTTGGCATAGATATGAAAACATTTTTTTTTTTTTTAAAGAAAAGGGTGGAATTTAATCTTTATTTACAGGACGCTGCAAGATATGAGATTCCACATAGAAATACGAAACTCACTGAGAGGAGAAGCTTCATACAGTTTGTACAGTTTGGAACTGTTCAAGTATAGTTTCCATTTTAAAAAGTGCTACAATAACAAAACACATTTAAAAAGAGTTCTGAGTAGAGAAACAGGAAGACAAACTTATACCAAACATAGTACACAACAAACAACTTTATGCCTCAGCTGCACAATCTAAAAGTTAAAGGTCCCGGGAGTGCCATCCTGAACTTGGAATGTGTAGCCTTCAGAGGTAGTTTCTGGCACAACATTTTGATCTTCTTCTTCCTCTACAGAGAAATATTTCTCAATCAAGTTTAACGAAGCTTTGTACACAGACTCATTTTCATGGTTTTGCAGAGCTTCAATTTTGTCCAAACCTCCACATTCTTCAATCATTATACTGAGTTTCTCAGTTTCACCTAGTTTCTCAGCAGCCTGAAAGATGTTTGAAATGGCATCCAGAATAACCAAAATAATTTTGGTATCTTTTGCAGTTAAGAGGTTCATCAGTGGCTCTATTATGCCACAGTGAACAAGGTACACAATCTGCTCAACTGTTCCGCCACTTGTATAGTTGGTCACAGCCCACACAGCTTCCTTTTGTGTCTTAAAGTCTGCCTTAGAGAGAATGCCAACAAGGAATGGCACTAATCCGTGATTCACAACTTGCTGTATCTGGTCCTGGCGACCAGCTGTGATGTTCGACATTGTCCACGTAGCTTCCTTCTGAATATTAGTTTTGGGGTTCGTTAGCAAGCTGGGAAAGACAGCAAGTGCTCCTGCGTCTATTACAACCTGAGTCTGTTCATCTGTCCCAGTGACAATATTTCCTATGGCTCTCAGCGCAGGAGTCACAATGGGCAATTCAGTAGCTCCTAGAAGCTGATATGAAAACATTTTTAAACCGTAAACACTGATTGAGGATACACTATTATTCATAAAGAGCTAAGTAGTTATTAAGGATAGAGAAATGAATAAGATAAGGTCCCTGCTTACAGGAAGTTTTGTGTCAGAGACAGAGAAGATAATAATTACAGTGTGATATGATAGAATCTATAACCTATTGATAAAAAGTGTCCAAAAGAGCTGTGCAGAGAGGACTGCCTGACAACAGCTGTGACCCTGTAACCAGGGACACAGCCACTTCCTAGAGGATGTTGGGAGCCATAAGGAACCAGATTTAGTCTCCTTCTAACTTCTCTTACCCAACTTGTGTTTGCCAAATGTGTGAACTCAACCGGCAGCTGGAGAGTAAGAGGTTGCTCTCCAGAGCTGTGATAGTCCAGGGTACTTAAGGATGGAAAGTGGATCTTGAGGTATAAATGAAAGATCTTCAACAGCAATAGCAACGTAGACTTGAGGGTGTAAGTTTAGTTTGTCATTTGTCATGTGCTTAAAGAATATTCAGATGGGGAATAGAAATCCAGGATCTGAAGTTCAGGAGGAAGGTTCCGTACTAAGCAAATGGATTTGGCCTCTATTAAACTACAGGGAGTTGAAACCACAAGAGTAGATAAAATAACTAAAGAGGGATTAAAAAAAAAAAAGAACCAATGGGAGAACCTTGAGCAGCTCCAACATTTAAAGTCTGGTTAAGGAAAAAGCACACGAATGATTCAAATGGCAGCACTCACCAGGTGACAGGAGAACCCGCGGAACAAATTATCATGATGTGATGTGCTGGGGAGAAATGGTCAAAAATGTTAACTGCAGTGGAGAGTTCAAACAAAATAAGAAATGAAAAATGTTCATTCAATTTAGCAATGAGATCACTGGTAATCTCAGTGAAAACAGCTTGAGTAGGGAGGTGGGGATACAGCCTGCCGCACTGGAAGAAAACTTAGTGTCTTGGAAATCCATAGAGAATAGAGACTGAAGCCAATGCTTCATTGAGAAACGGAATCTCAAATTTTTGAGAAAATCCAGACCCTGCTTGTTGCCTGGATAGACCATATGGAGCCACCCACAGTGAGGAAATTAATCTAAGATAGAGAAAGAGGAAGAGGAACTTATCTGCTGGCTCTCCTCCTGCCCCACCCTCCGTCTCTCCTCTCTGATTGTCAAAGTTCACCGTAAGGGCTGTTAACTCCCTCCTTACTCCCAAGTAATGCGGCACAGTCTTCTAGGGCTGTCATGGCCACACAGCTCTGCATCCAAGTTCTAAATGGTGGAAGGAGCCAGAGTCTTTGTGGCTCTGGTCAGCTCAGACCCTGACACTGCAACAGCCGTGACTCTTTCCTGGAAAACTGTGATCCAGACCAGGCCAGGGCCCAGCCCTTGTCCTGGAAGAATCCACAATAAGCAGTAGGTGAGAAGACAGCTGTGTGTATGGAAATTGTCCATTGAGCAAGCAGCCAAGGACCTAGGAGGCAGCAAGGGCCAGACAAATCTGGAGACGTGTGTGCATTGAATGGAATGCAGGTGATAAAATCTGATAGGACAGACAATCCTTCAAGGAAAGTGACTGAGAAGAAAAGTAGGCGGAGAGGTAAAGAGGATCCCAGAGAGGAACATGACATAGTGGAAAAAAGGACACATGAGGAGTCAGACTGCTTGTATGTGATCAGGAACAGTTCATCTGACCTTTCTGTGCCTCAATGTCCTTATCCATCAAAATGAGAAATATTATTATCTACTTTATAAGGTAGTTATAAATTACTAAATACAAAACATTTAGAACTGTGTCCAGCACACACTGAGTATTATTTTAATGTTTGAGAAGGGTCAAAGGAGGATGTTTTTGTTTCATAGACACTTCAACACCTTTTCATGCTGAGGAAAGAAAAAATGGGAATTTCAAGGGAGAGAAGAGGAGAAAGAAGTAATTGTTGATGAAGAAAGCTATCAAAAATGATAGGATTTCTTGATAAGGTAAAGAGATTAGTGCATGATAGGCACTTCTTGATTTTGTTCTTGCTGATTAATCAGACCTAAGTATTAGACCAAATTAAGCACTCGTGCATGGTTTTACATAAGCAGTATACTAGTCTAAAATTTGAAATGTTACATAATAACGAAATTCACTATGCCTTTATGCATAAAGGCATAGAATAAATACTGTTTAATGAGTGAGGAATTGAAGGAATGATTGAATGAAAGTTCATTCTTACTGCTCTGCCCATTCCGTTGCTATCTTTTCAGACCCGTCTGCGCTATAAGATCTTATGTCTTTTAACCTCTTCAATTTAATCCAAAGCCAGGGAAGCAAAATATTATGTGAGCTCAGACTCACCAGCCACTGGAGTCTGGAATTAATTTTATGATGAGCCTGCATTGAGCACTAGACACTGGTGTATCTGTCATATTACATACAGCCTTTTCCCACTGCAGCCATCTTCCCCAGTCTGTATGCTTAAGCTTCAGCCTTAAGTTTCCTGTTGAGTGCTCCAGTTTCCTTCCAGAAGTAGAGCTCAGCTGCAAACTTCAGTCCATGTAGCTGAGTCTTTGGTTTCCTTCCTATCTTTTGTCAGAGTAGGAAAGGATTTTGTCCCTTGACCCTCTCCAATGGCTTGGTCCCCTCTCCCAATACGACTGACAATACCAAAACGAAATGCTGCCCCCAATTTGGTGGAACGTGCCCATTGCCTCACTTCCCAGCTGCATCATGGATGACACCAACCTGCTTCACTTCAGGTTCACCAGGTTCCTTTGGAAACTATGACAGACTGTTGGTTTCCTCTCTCAAAGGCCAGCACTAAACTTGAATCGCTTAACCCAGCCCATGGGTTTTGTGACTCTCTCCTGGCTTCCTATTCTTCCTCACTGGCCTATTTTGCAGTGGAGAGTCCAACATGCCTGATGATTGAGCCCATTGCAGAGTAGGCATGCCCACTCACAGCACGATTCTGTGCTTCTCTCAAAGACAGTGTGAGAATGTCAATATGCCAACTCCTTTTTATGTATTTTCATGTAGAACTATGAAGTGTTTATGACCCTAAAAGACACACGATGTAAAATTATACATTACCTTCAATGGGCAACATTTTTAATACTTCACATATCTTCCTTTAATATCAAACTGAACCCCACCAAGTTTTCAAGTTCTTGCTGGGAACAGACCTCTGATTTCAGAGGCAGCTTAATATAGTGGAAAGAGCAAGGGCTTTGTAATCAAACAACCATGGGTTCAAATCCTACTTGTGAAAACTACTTTGTGGCACTTTGGGCAAGTTATTTGGTGTCTCTGAGCCTCAATTTCTTCAACTGTAAAAATAGGGATGATAATACCTAGGGATAAAACCACAGATAGTTGTTTGGGAGATAAATAAGATCACGGGGATTATGTTTCCAGTGCCCAGCCCTTGGAAAAGTAATCCCCTTGCTTTCTTTCCTTTCTCCTGGTATTGTGAACTACAGATCAAACAGACTTCAGAATCACTCACCATCAGTTCTATTCCTGAAGACATCCTACAATTTTTATAAGCTACTCCAATATCAGAAATATGACTATCAAAGCTTAATTGTATGAGGAGTTTTTCTCCATGTGTAGCCTAGACAAACTTGAGCAATTTCATAACTTGGAAACATTTAAAGGCAGTTTTACATAGAAGTTTATGTATTTACCTATTTTGAAGCCCCTGGTCATTTTGAGTGATCAGCCTTATTGTTACGGGACAGTTTTGCAGCTGTGCATATTAGGCACATACAAAGGAATGTCCCTTTCAAAACTGAGGGTTTCATATTTATTTTCCCCCAAATTGGGTTATGTTCAATTAGTTGAACCAAAAACCTGAACATTTTTTCTTGGACGCTTCCAAATGCCCAGGACTTTCTCCAATTACTATGTGTAAAAATAGATCAGGTAAAGGGGCGCCTGGGTGGCTCACTCAGCTGAGTGTCTGACTTCAGCTCAGGTCATGATCTCACGGTCTATGAGTTCAAGCTCCGCGTTGGGCTCTGTGCTGACAGCTCAGAGCCTGGAGTCTGCCTCAGATTATATGTCTCCCTCTCTCTCTCTTTGCCCCTCCCCCACTTGTATTCTGTCTCTCTCTCTCTCAAAAATCAATAAACATTAAAAATTTTGTAAAAAATAGATCATTTAAAAAATATAATTTTTTACATAATCATTGAACAAACGGATGTCTCCTGCATCAAGAAAACTGTGCATGGATCCATCTCCTTTGCTCACCGAGGCAAACTACGAATCACAGCAGTTCCAGTAACTGACTCAGGTATCTCTTTATTAAATATTGTGTTATCACCCAGGTTATCAAATTCACAACTCCATTTCTTAGGCTTTATATTTGCTTCTGCCCATGTGGAGATTGGTCTCCAGATTCTTTGACATGTCCCATATCGATAAATGCACTCTACATTCTCTCTCCTTAGATATGTAGCTATTTGACCCATAAAGCACAGTGTAAATGACACTGGAAGCTTACATTTCCCAATTTTCTTGGGATATTTGCTCTTGGAAGACAGCCACCATGCTGTGAGGAAGCCTAAGATGTTTCATGGAGTGGTAGGCATGCAGAGGAACCAACAGCCAGAATCTATATGCCAGCCATATGAGCAAACCATCTTAGAAGCAAATTTCTCTCCTCATTTGAGCTGTCCCACCTATCCCTACCGAACCCCACCAAAATTTCAGATTCTTGGACACATTAAATGATTGCTATACTTTTAAGCCACTAAGTTTCAGAGTGGTTTGTTCTGCTGGAATAGGGAACTTGAACAATCCCCACAGGTTATACTTTCCAATGATAGGAGCTTAGGTAACATGTGGGTATAATTGATGGGCTATAATCATTTGTATTTAGAAGAGAAATGGCCCCAAATTGCCTACATAGTCTCTATGTCCTCACTTCTCTCTGACGTTACCTCTCTGATTCCCTCTACGATTTTTTCCTTTAATCCTACATTCCCATTATTATGATCCTGGTATTTGACTCTGTGGAATTGGCTGCTGGGCTCCATGCCTCTACCATTTCAACCATAATAATGTGATCAGTTTGGAGAGGGGACAGGGCAAGATGGTGGAGAACTAGGGAGCTGCGTACCTGCACTCGCACCCAGGCATCACACGGAAAAGATCTGAAGCCATCAGAAACCGTACCACACCCAAGAGACTGGGAGAGAAAGGACGCAGATTCCACTGAGAAAGGCTTCTAACGTGAGTGCGAACTGGGGAAGTAAAAATCGGGCCTGGATTGGAGACTGGAGAGACGGGCCACCCCCTCTGTGGGGAGTGAGAGGGGAAAAAGAGAGTCCGAAACAGAAAAACCCCCGCTCGGGGTGTAGAAAATCTTTGCGCACAAAATACCTGCACGTCAGGCCCCTCCACGCTCCAGGTCGCCCAGGAGGGGCTGCGCTCGCGATTTGCTTCTTTGTGCTGGCGCCTGGCCGGCTGGGAGAGGCTGCGCGCCGGCAGCCATTACCCTCGAGGCGGGCCTGGACCCCCGAGGAGGCGCGCAGGCACCGGCATCCATGCTCCTAGCTGGCTGGAGCTCTAGAGGGAAGGCAAGGCGCTAAAAACTGGCAGATGTGACCTCGAGTTCGTGTTCTGGGTGATTGAGACACAGAGGGAACTTGATCTCCTCACCCCAGCGGGCTCAGCGCGCCGGC